TGGCCCCAGACATCCCTGTTGCAGTTGACCTGAATTTAATTGTCTTTGTACTATTTGAGGAAACTCACACTGACACAAAGTAAACAGAGAACCAGTGAACAAAAAAACGGACCTCTGTAAACATCCTTTTTTTTTGTATTACTGACAATAATAGGCACTCTCATGTGAGGAAAAAGCAGCTTCTGACAACGCTTCGCCTCGAGTCTTTAAATCCAGATCACACCTTCATTTCATGATGAATTCACCATTCTTGCTTTGAGTATTGAGGCACTGATTGGATTCTGTAACTTCTGATTTGACTTAAAACGCTGGACAAGGGTTGGTTGTTATACACATAGACTGGTTATACATCAGTTGAACAAGTTTACAGTCAGTGTTTGTCTCAGACTCAGAAAGGCTTGGGGAAATCCCTCAGATACACACCCTATGATGAAAGACGCATGTTGCAGTGCCAGTAGAGTTCTGGAATCTACGTCTTAATTGTACACGAAACAAAAAGGCTCACACGTCACTTGTTGACCATCGATTGCATAATGTTGCCATATTGTGCAGTGTGATGCAATATAACAACAATTCGATTTTAATGTAGCAGTATTGTGGTTAGCTTTTTTTAACTACTAACTATCATGTATCATAAGGTATTATATCGACAGAATAGGTGACCTTACACTACTTTTGCTCAGTAACTAATGAGTTAGTTAGCATTATTTCAGTAACATTGTTTTGAGAACAGTTTCATCATCACCCATAACTCAGATAAGTATTTTAACCAGATGCTGATAATGAATAACAACCTTAAATATATACATGCTAATTAGAATTGATGCAAACTATTATTATGGGTAAAGATGTTCAATACAATGGATTGTCATTCAAATATTGAAGTTAGTGTGCTGAGTTTTCCAATATATATTTAAGATGTTAGTTTCATTGTTCTTCCAACATGTACATAGTAATATACATGTATCCTATGATCTCATTGTCTTCCCCTGATTACATTATCAATGTAATGTAAGCCAAATATATAAAGCCACATAAATATCTTCTATGTTGTGAATGAAATGATAAGAAACCACAAATATACCACAAGTTTTGATTCCATGAAAGCTTAAAACAGTTAATAAATCTGTAGCTGTTATATGCAATCTGCTGAGAAGGAAAACATTTATTTTGTAAACCACTCCCAAGGGGCTTGGCCAAAAGTGTGCAAAGACTATAAGAGAGGTGCAATTTCAGGTGGAGCATCACTCAGGTGAGGCTTTCAGATACCAATGTCTCCACCCTCTCTCTCTCCTGCCTGAGGATACTACTTTGACTCTACTCTGACTGAACAAGGTACAGATATTATCATGTTCATGTCATTATTCATTCAGGCTCTTACTTATTGTCTTTTGCTGTCATGTGACGGCTTATCAGATCATTTAGAGAAGTATGTGTGACAGCTGCTTTCACTTCATTTTGTGAGTTTTGATTCTGGTGTCTCACAAATGTGTTTTTTCTTTCCAGGTTATTCTTTAGGTATGTTGGCAGATCTGGAGACGGTGAGTGATATTTCATTTATTTTAAGAAGTGTGTATGATGTCCTTTTTTGGTTGTTTTTACACCACGAATGACAGAAATGTGTTTATATGTATACAGTAAGATGTTTCAATAACAGTTTGCTCTAAAATACAATTGTGTTTACTGTAAATGAATTGTGTTGGATGAGGGTAAAATGTTATTTCTGAAGAAAACAGCTAACACAGGTCACTGTTACCTGAATGTTACCTGTGCTAATAAAAGCACAAACACTTGCATAAATTTGCCAGTCAAACTCAAATACAAATTGTCACTGTTGTTACCTGGCGCAATTCCAACATCGCACACAGCTCAGGTTAAATAGACAGTTCACTGCTGCATATTGTTAGTGAATGTCTATGGTAGATGGACAAAATATATGTTTTTATGTTATCTTCTGTTATAAATTATGTAAAGAAATTGAACATTCACAGATTCACAGCTCATTAAAAGTTGATGAATGAGTGCATCCCTTATCTTCAGAATTTCAGAGTAAAATTATTCACGTGCAAAAGTACACCACAACAAAACAACAATGGGTGTTTCATGAAGAATAACAACACAGCAGGTGTTCGATCTGCTAATAAGATCTCAGGTTATGACTGACCCGAGATAAATGCCACCCATCATGCACAGTGTTTTCTCTCCATCAGCGTCATGCAACAAACTCTCTCTCTCAAAATCATATTTCTGAAAGCCTGTGTCCTGCTCTTTGTTTGTCAGATGGCTTATGTGACTGAGATCAGGCTTAGCGCAGGTCGGGGGGCTTGGAGCGCAGCGGCCCCCTCCTCCTGCCCTGAGGTGGACCTGGAGGTCATCGAGGAGTACCTGCAGGAGCACTCTATGGAGGTCCATCCTGCGCACACTACTGCTTCACCTCCGGCCACTGTGTCTCCACACACACACGCACACCCCCACCAGGGCACCAGGATCACAGGTTAGTGTAGCAGGTTTACAAATTGGATTAAGTTTGTGCTTGTATATTTATTTTCTTCTCACTGTATGTTTTCACTGTTTCTCCGTAGTGAACAGCTGGTCAGGCAAGCATCCGTATGAGTGGCACTCTCACACTCCTCACGAGGAATATGACGAGCAAGCTCTGCATCCAGCCTGGCCTAGTCCCCATGACAACCAATGGGTGAGTTCAAGGACCTTATTTTCTTAGTACATTTAAGCTTGATTACCATTTATCATAGCTAGATATAACAAAATATTACCGTGACACATGAGACTCTTTGATTCATGATTAAGAGACTCTGGCATTAGAATGTTGTATCAACTTTATAAGTAGAACCTAAATCGTTCCTAAATTAAAATGTGTGTATTTCTGATTGTATGTGATTCTGTATATCGCAGAGATCAAATATTTTCATAGTCTTCTTGTGTTTGACAAAGTTGGCTTTTGCCAACATGATATGTTTGTGCCAACATATATTTTTACATTTGTAAATTATTAATATGTTTAATATGCGTCTGCTTCAGGACCACATTCCGTATTCCTACGGGGCCCCTGGATACTTTGACTCGGACTCGCTGTCCAGTGGCTCCCAGTACCAGGAGTACCAAGATTCCCCGTCACCATTGTCTGACAGGGGAGGAGGAATTGAAAGAGACCTCCTGCCTCTTGCCCCACTTTCAGGTATACACACAAACACATCGCAAGTTTTCTATTTATTTGTATTTCTTAAGTATGTTAGGGTAGGTTGCTTTGTTCGAGGACCATGGGACTTAAGACTGTCATTGCCAAAACTACATGAAGCTACTGTATTGTGCATATGACAATAAAGCCTTTTAATCTTTGAAAACATGTGCAGATGAGCAGCAAAACTCTACAAAACTTCCACATATCTACACAAAAAACATCTAAGTATTTAGTTTGAGGTCCTATGTTGTGTTGGGTTTATATACATATGAGTCATTGTCACCTCATATTTGTATTTACATCCCCTTCCTCCTTGGCAGGAAAGAGGAAGGAGCGGTTGTTCCAGTTCCTATTTGAGATGCTCCAGACTCCATCGATGCGGAGCTGCATCTGGTGGGTTCAATCCTCCTCTGGCACGTTCCAGTTCTCCTCTGAAAACAAGGAGCGCCTGGCACAGCTGTGGGGCAGGAGGAAGGGCAATCGCAAGACCATGACCTACCAGAAGATGGCGCGGGCCCTGAGGAACTACTCTCGCACAGGCGAGATAAAAAAGGTGAAGAGAAAGCTCACCTACCGTTTCGATGAGAAGACACTGAGAGGCCTTCAAGGAGACTCTCATTCAGTGTAGGAGGCATGATGAGTAGGCATATCAATTGAATAGGTGCGAAGGATGTTCTGATGGTCTTCCGGTTATCATCCTTTCTGATAACCTTTCTGTTTCTAATTCTAAGTCGAAATAAATGAATACTGAGTATTTGAAAAGCCAGAAGGTGTATGTATGACTGGCATTACAACATATGTAAATCTTAAAGGTTATCACATCATATCTACTTCATAAGTAGAATTACAATTATTCTTTTTTTTTTTAAAAGGTGTGCATTTCTGTTTTTATGTGATTCTGCATTGCAGATATTAAACAAATAAAATCGCTTCTTATTATTTACATAATTGGGTTTTGTAAAACATGATTTACCTTTTTTAAATGAAATAAAAGAAAAATATTTTCAGAAAACAGAATTTGTTTCTAGATTTTGTTGATCTGTCTGTCTGTCTGTCTGTCTATCTGTCTGTCTGTCTGTCTGTCTGTCTGTCTGTCTGTCTGTCTGTCTGACTGTATGTCTGTCTGCCTGTCTATTTGTGTGAACAAAGATGTACTATGTAGTGCATATCAGCTAAGCAAACACAGATGTGATTATTAACTGAAGCAAACACACACACCCACACAAACCAAAATGGTATGCAAAGTAAGCATGTATTGAAAAAGCACCTCTAACAACCAGCCTGTTAATCAGTAACCTAACAGTCCTGTAACACACAGAGTGGACACACACACTCAACACATCAGAGAGGAGACTGTCTTTTATGCTGCCACAGTAAAGACAATACATTTTCATAGTCAAATGACGGGGACACAGACATACATGCTGAAAAACATGTGACACAGGGGACCATTACATCGTTTACTTCACTAAACTTGTTTGACATCTTTGTTTTTATTTTATTTTAAACCTAAAAACCTAACTTATAAAATGTAATGCCCTATGATCGATCAAGTTACCCCACAGCATATAGGATAGTTCAAATAGTTACAGAATTTGATTGCTGCTCATACATAGTATAATATATTTATATCTGATATTTTAAATACATCTGCTTTACTTATTTAAGTATTTAAACCCTGTATTATCAGTATTTTATGTAGTTAATATTTGAGTACCACTGAAAATATGAAACACACCTTTGTGTGAAGAATGTGACATGACTCATTTAGAATGTGTCTCCTCTAAGTCTATTGAGACACAACTGTCAGTGTGAGAAAAGCATTTTTTACCAACTGATGAAATACAGATGTCGTCTCTACGGAGTGCACGCCTGTTGTGCGTGCACAAAAAAGCACATGCCTGTTGAATATAAAAATCCTCCGTTCATTACATTTCCGGTCATTTGAAGCCGAGAGCTGAAAGCGTGGAGGAATAGTTTTTCAAAATGACAACCATAGGATTATGTTGGACATAACTTTCCACGGCCTTCAAGGAAACCTGCTCTATCAAACTTCTCAGCTTCTCTGACTTTCTTCTTTCGTGATGACTGACTGGAGTTGGGTGGCCTACACAGTACTAGAAGTGCTGATTGCCATTTCCTGTTTCCTTGGCAATGCGTTGGTGGTGTGTGCGGTGTGTATTGGCATCCGGGATTCCCTGCGAGAGCCCACTTTCTGCTTCCTCGTATCCCTGGCAGTGGCTGACTTCCTGGTGGGTGTGGCGGCCGTGCCCCTGGCTGTCCTGTTGGATGGCTGGGTGAGTGTGACCCCTGACCTCTGCCTACTTCTCAGCTGTGTTGTGCTCGTGCTGACTCAGGCCTCTGTGCTGTCACTGCTCGCTATCTCTGTGGACCGATACCTCCGATTACACATTCCCCTCAGGTAAGGTCTAACTGATTTACAGCTAAGGAGCTTTGTACTTGCTGCTTGATTTGTAGAAACAACCTTTCTTTCTGTTTTATCCCTCAGATACAAAGCCCTGGCCACACAAAGGCGTACATGGATGGCTGTTTCTGTGTGCTGGACTCTTTCCTGTATACTTGGGTTCACCCCTCTGTTTGGCTGGCGTAACTACTCCTCACTAACATCAGATTTCACCAACACATCCTCCTCTTCCTCCATCTCTCCACCCTGCACCTTCCTCTCAGTTATTTCCCTCCCCTTTATGGTTTACTTCAACTTCCTGGGATGTGTCATGGCCCCCCTGCTGGTCATGACCCTCCTCTACACTCGAATCTTCCGGAGCCTGCAGGGTCATCTAAAGGAAAGCTGTCCCCAGGCCCAGGCCTCCCTGCTGCGGGAGAAGAGGCTTGCCTGCTCCCTGGCTCTGGTTCTCATTTTGTTTGCCGGCTGCTGGATTCCTCTGCACCTGATGAACTGCCTGCTGCTGTTTCAGGGTCCACAAGCTGTGACACGGGGGACACTCTATACAGGCAGGTATCTTTTCTAGTACTTACAGTCTGAAGTAGGTCTTTTTTTTCAAATATCACAATAATTGATCACACCACTTACCAGCAGTCACAGTGAAATCTGATAATAGCAAATCCATTTTCCAGGTATTCTCCTGTCTCATGCCAACTCAGCAGTCAACCCTGTGGTCTACGCTTGTCGCATCCCAAAAATCCAACAGGCCTACAGTCAAATATGGAGACGCTTCATTGTGAGGCTGAACTGTTGCCATGGGGACAAGCAAGTTTGCCAATCAATAAAAGGCAGCCGAGCCAATCACATAGAGACGTGTGGATCAGGAGGGAAAAGCACACCCTAACAAAGGACTACATGCTTTTTAAGTCCCTTATGTTTCAGTTTGGAGTTCATTATACTTTTTCGTAAGGTTTTATTGCCCACTCACACAAAAAATCTGAAAATCACTCAATCCAACAAATATTTGAGACTTTATTACACATAAACAACTGGGAAACTACTGGCAGCCAGAGAGTGTTTGTTTGTTTGAAAAAAATGCATTCTCTTACTTGCCATTACAATCAGTGCCTGCTCCTTGTCTGCTGACTTTATTTGTATCAAAGCTATCTCATTAGTTTCCACTAGAGGATGCTGTAGACTAACACAATCACTAGCTGCTGTTGTACACAAACTATCACACCATCAGAATAGTTGACAAAACACTTTCACATTCACTGATTATTGAACAACCCATTTTAGTCAAGTAAGACTTTATACAGATGTACATATATCAGTCATTTTACAGCCTCAATTATTTCATGTGTACATTTGTGCTGCTCATATAACTTGCTCTTTCTTCCTGTTATCTACAAATAAATGTGATACAAAAATGAGAGTGTGTTGAGGAATCATGTTCAGTGGACTCCTCAGGGAAGGCAATAGACTGTATAGTTATCACCTGAGCAGGGTGCAGTCCCACCCACCAAACTATACAACCTACTACCTCACCCTGAAAGAGCCCGAATCAAACACACCACACGTCCACATCCTATTCGGGAACATCAAACCTAATTAACCTGTTCAAGCACACAGATAACAATGCTTCACAATATGTTGACAACTCCAAGTTTTGATTGGAAGCGGGATTGCCCATCTGGAGAAGACAGTCGGTGAGTGGCTGACTCAGCTGTCTCCTTGGGAAAGACAGTAGATTGTATAGTTATCTCAAAAAGAGGTTACACAACCCCACAACTATTCAATCTACTACCTCAGCCCCAAGGACAGCATCCACATTGCTTCTGCATCAAAGATCCTCAAAGGTCATTTTCCTGCAATGGTACATAGAAAAAAAGACAGGGGGGGGTTATCTTCATTATTCTCTGTAAGATACATGCCAGGTAAAACTGGGTAGTACTGCCTTTTTGAGTGTATATTTACATTACATTTTAGACGGTCCCAACTCAAAGAGCTTAATTGTATTTCAGTTTAATTTCTGTGTTCCTGGAACTCGTTTAATAAAACAACTTATGTCTGAAAATTGCTTCATGACAACAATTCTTTAAAAGATTTTAGAGAAATGTCTATGAATCTAAACAAAAGATGATTATGTTTATCGGCACATTTTCACCATTAAACCCAGCTTCTTTTTTTTGATACAGTGTTAAATGTCTTAAAGGAATTTGTTCCATTAAAATAAATGAAAGACAAATTATTTAACGGTTAGCAGACATCGGAAAGTGAGAGCACTAATGTGTAAAAGCCCAACAAACAACTCACTGGCTTCCTGAGACTTGGATGTGATCGAAAGAGAGAAAAAAAAAATGCTCGACTCTGTGCCAGGAATTCGTTTCCGTTTTTGGCCAAAAACTGAGCTCATTTCAGTGGGCTATCCCTGTGTAGGCTGGCTGCTGCTTCTCAGACGGTGGTACACACACAGATGCCTGCAAATATGGCTTCCACCAGCTGCCTCTGATTGAATACAAGGCTGGGATTCTGCCCCCCAAAACACAACAAGGAAACACAAAATGGCGTCTCGTTCATCGGCCATTTTAGTTCTGCTTAAAAACACTAGAAGGTCCACCTTTCCGCTTTTTTTTCCGAGGACGCTATCTCACGATGAAGAAAAAGTGTCTGTGATGGAGAATCAATCTTGTGCCAAGCACAGAGACGAAGCCAAGAGACCGAACGATGCGCTCACAGTCACGGATACAAAGTAAGAGAAAAACTGTAACAATACTTATCAGACAGAGGAAAAGTTCACAGAGGAGGAGTACATATATGCCACTGGTGCGATTAACAGATCCGCCCTCGTTTCGATCAAAAAGTTGGCACTAAACAAGTTGATTTCTTAACTTGTATTAATCTCGCTATTTGAGACTAGGCTCCCCGTCAGACAGCTAAATACTCCACTCTTATGGGATAAAGGTTGGGATGGGCCAGCCAGTTAACATGGCAGCTACTGAAGGGTTAACGAGTGCCAGACTAAAATGCCAGACCTTGGCCTCAGATAGACAGAGAAGGGGTTAGGAGGTACACTGCTTGCATAAATTAGCATACAGCCACAACCCCTGAGACATGGTCCAGGCCAGCCTATAGTTAGCATGCAGTAGACCCTGCTAGTCTGATTAAAGAAGACCAGACAGACAGAAGGGGGTGGGGGTGTGTTGGCATGATGCCCAACTCTGCCACCGTGCCAGTGACAGATCTACGAGCTCTGTTCGGTCGCCGGGAAACGTCCCTTGACTGGAGCTGTATTTGGAAGACAGACTAATAGTGAGATGACACAGTGTACTGGGGGGAAATTGGTCAAACTAATGAAGATTTAACAGGACTGAGCATGGCCTCCAATGAAAAATGCATACACATTAAACACTAGTGGGGAATGTTGTGCTTCTGGGTTAATTGCGAAAATTGGCATCTGTTTCCCTGCACAACTCCCGACTGTTTAGCAAACACAGAGGCCAATCTCGGTCAGTAATGTGATCTCTATTGGGCGCTGTCTGTGATGGTGGACTTTGTCCATGGCACATAAAAGGGGCACACAAGGCTTGGTGGGGCAAATCATTTTCTCTGTCAACAGCTCCAAAATAAATGAGCCTTCAGCCAGTGGGGCAGCTCAGAGGATCTTAAAAGAAAGACAGGGGAAAGAAAAAAAGAGGCCTATTGAGTTAATCTCATCTGCCTATCAGACAGTCTGTCTGTGCATCCGTCACAGCAGAATTACAGCTAAATGGTAGTAAATTCATATTAGCAAGTTATGTCCTCTCCTGCCCTTTGATAAAGCAGCTCTGCTGTGACCAACCAGGATATGTTTTTCTGGATACAATTTCCTGTTTCAGGATCTATCTCTTGTTAACAGTTACACATGTTTCTTCTGGGTTTTCTAAGACCCCATGTCAGTTGTAGCACTGGAAATGTAATTTCTATAATAAACAGATCTACAGCAACAACATCTATCAAGCCCCTACCTAAATCTAATTCCGGCATTCAACACAAGACATTGGTTTTAAATGAGTACATTTGTATAACACTGACACAACTATAAAATATGAAGGGCTTTTGAGAAAATTCAAAAGTGAACACCTACAAAAAAAGATCAAAATATCGACTTAGTTAAAATAAAAATGCCTGCCTGCTAAACGATTATTCTACTGACTTTTTACATCAACATGCTGTTCTATCAAAACACACAAAGAAACACTGCAACTTCATCATCTATAGCACATCCAAACCCATGCGAGAATCAAATCGCATTGTGGAAGCAATAGGCCGTAGCTTCCTCCCGACACTGTTGGAGGATGCAGGTTTCGCGGATTCATTCCTCACCCAATACAAACGACGTAAACACACAAATTAATCAGCGAATCCCCAAACACACACAGCAGACTCAGTTGCCAACAAAACTCCTCAGAATTGGAGCAAATTTGAGCAGGAAGCAAAGGCAGGGAAATACCTATTGGATTGCCTGGTCCCTTGGTCCGCGTGATGGGATGAATGCTTGGCAGACACAACGGAGGGGGCACCAGACGATTGGTACAGGTTCCTGTGTTTCTCTCTCTCTCTCTCTCTCTGAGCTTTGTGCCAATAATGGGCAGTGTCTGTGTGCCAGGCAGAATTTCAATAAGGGAGGAAGGAGGTGGTGATGGTGGGCAAAGAGGAGGAGGAGCAGTGGGGGAGCTGGAGTTGGCAGAGGAAGTATGCCACACAATAAACGGCAGAATTAAGAATTCCCACAGCTAAAAAGATGCAAATGGATGTCTTGTCTTACTCGTGTCCAGTCTTACTCTGGAGAAAAAAATAGTATCGAGGCATATGGCAGATACGAAAGAGAGGGCTGATCCTCAGAGGAGCGATATGGTGATTTTATTGTACATGCTTTTTCATCTTCCTCACTCCCTGAGGAATGCCAGCTTCCTACATTAAAGGACGAAGGACAGGAGCTCTGAGCGTCTTCCCACTTGGCAAGGTGCCCACTCTGATGTTCTGTATATCCTCATTAACTAAGCGCAAACACATAAGGCTCATGCTCGTGTATTTGCATGTATACGGATATACGCTGCCATATGCATGGAGTTACACACACTGGAAGACACAGCACAGTTGCTTAACCTGTGTACATGAAAGAAGCTAATTGTATCTGATCCTGATTTATTAAAGCCTGATTAAATAAAAAATGCTTCCGGTCCTTTGCCATCGACTGCTCTGTGATGCAAAGTAAAGGGCTCCACACAAGGCTCAAAGGCATCAGAGCAAGGTGAACATGTCAGGCAACGTGTTTGATAAAAGGATAGTATGCCCAAGATAAAACAGGACTATAAGGCAGCCCTTGTTTTGACTATCAACAATCATTTTAACCATAGAAGTGGAGCTGCGTTGAAATGAGTATGAAAATAGGTGGCAGGGCACACACTCTGCTAAATCTACAAGATTTGGTATGTAACTATAGAAAATGCATTTTAATACGTATATAAATAGGGTTTTATTTGAGAGAATGAGAGGTATTATTTGATAAAAGAAATTAGGAGGAATATCCGAGTCATTGGTGTATTAGCTAAAGTATAGCCTGCAATTACCCAGATGGCCAGATGTGTTTCCAAAACCACTGAACGAAGATAATGTAGATCAAAGGTTTACCTCCTCCTCTTCATTTACTCTCTCTATGCCCTCTCCTCTTCTCCACTTGTCTATGCTTTTGCCGATGTGCTGATGAGATGTGTGGTTACCATGGTTTCAAATGTTTCTGAAAGCTCAGATGCCTGGCCTGGCATGTTGCTAGACGCCCACATGTTACAGCCTTCACTAGTGCAACACAGAGCAGGCCATACAAACAAACGCTCACATACAGGGTGTGCATGCATATTTGTGCTCGTATACAAAGATTAGCGTACAAGAGGGAAATCAGGTTATGTCAGGACAAAGCAGCGTCAGCTTCCTGCATGAGAAGAGAAACTTCCTGTTGCCTCGCTGCAAACCGCAGCTGGTCAGCCAAGATATCAACCAATCAGCTATGCTGAGGCTGAATGCAGGAAGTAAGCCTGACTGCCTCTAGGAGAAAAACTCAGAAACATTATGAGGCAACACGATAAGTTCATCTGAGGATAAGAGAGGGGCGGGGAAAGAGCTCTCTCACTCCTACCTCTCTTTCTGTCTCTGTAACCCTTGTTCTCTCTGTTTTTCTACAGCTTCTACTTTCTTAACCTTTTCCTCGCGTCACTGTCATGTCGATATACATGAAGAAAGGTTATTTTTTTGTTAATTATTTAGCTGTCGAATGTCAATGCTGATTTCAAGTCACAGTTGCTGAAGCCAGAGAATTATTAGTCAAATAGCCATGAATTGTGAGGGGCATGTTGAAAGGGTCTGCCCATATTCACAGTTTCACAAACACGTGGCACGAAGGCGCCATCTTAACATGGAACCGTATTTAGATCCAGATAAAGTATTAACATTAGGCAGTCCAGTGAGAGTACCTGAAAGATCAAATTGGTTTTTCGTTCATTTGCATATCCTGTTTTGACTCATACAGACATTGATACTATGTTCCTGTTTCAGGGTATACAGGCCTCTAACTTCAGACTGAAGTCAGAAATGCAGGTTAAAATCCAAAGATTTCTGAGTACGACATATCAATCTGACAAATGCTACTCTATGCTTTCTTCTATAAAAATAAATCAACAGCTTCACTGATTAAATTAGATGATCTACTGCAGAACAACAACAGTAAACATTTCCTTTTAGCGGTCTGTTTCACCTCTCGGTTTCATATCTGCATCAGTTTCCTCTGAAGTGCAAAGCTTCGTACACAGTAACCTCCGACGCAGTGGGTCAAGGCAGTCACCACCTTTTAACCAACTGTCACACCTTGAGATTTCAGAAATATAAAAGTCAAGCACAAACAAACAAACTGTGAAAATACTGCCACATATTTGAATTTTAACAGTGGCCTAAAGTGCAAGCAGCGTGTGAAGGGAAACAAAGTCAATACTGCCTCTGTACGAGCTATCACAACGGCTCGCGATGATAAGAGACTTCCAAGTGTCCCACTTGTCCTTTGACCGCAGATAGTCTGGTGCTGACGTGAACCCAACAACAACTCTCTCGGTCGACATTCTGAGGTCAGAAAGTAACCAAGGGCCTTTCCCTCCTCCTGCCAGTCTACATAGAGTCACCTGTTTGGTACAGAAAGCCACAGTACCACTGTTTACCTCCCTGTCAGAGCCTGCTGACCTCGAGCAGACCGGGGAGAGGAAGTGGGCGACAGGGACAGAGAAATAAGACATAATGGAAGCAGGAGAAAGAAGATGGACAGCAGGGAGTCGAGGAGTCCCTCTGAGCTCCAGAAAAGTTCCTACTGTTATGTCCATTGAGCCAAAATGGCGGCGATTGGAGTACAGCGTGGCACCGGACGACGATAGACACATTTACAGTAGGAAGACCATGATGAAGGACAGAGAAGAGTGCGAGAGGACTGAAAGAGAAGATTATAGGGCTGTGAAAAAGATGGGAAGAGGTGTCGCAGGATAAAAAAGAAAAATACCTGGAGCCTGTACGTGAGCGCCGGGCTGGGCCGGAGGACTGGAGGAGAAGAGGGCCGTGATGGCGGGAAGAAGGGAAAAGAGAGGAGTAGAGCACACCCTCTGTGAGCTACACCCCCTTCCCACAATCCCCTCCTACTGGCGTGAGTGCGTCTGTCCGTACACAGGGTGACAGAGGGACGCCTGCTCTAACATAGCCCTATAACACAAACACAGAAAACGCACACAAGCCACAGTTTCTAACACACTGAGCACAGCAAAAAGAGAAAACAGACGCACTATAAACTCACGTTACTTGCAGTTTCGTGTGCCCAAAACGGAGACAAACCCACAGACGGAGAACACAAACACACACATAATCAATTCGCCAGCCTTTGGATCGCCCTCTGCTCTGCCCTGTGCTGTGTTTGCCTCGGTCTGACTGCCCACTTTGGTACTGCTGCCAAGAGGGAAGGGGAGAAAAGAGAGGGGAGGAGGGGGGGGGGTGTAGAGACAGAAAGAGGAAGGGAGGGACATGCTGTAGCGAGAGAGAGAGAGAGAGAGAGGAGGAACAGAAAGAGGTGGAGTTAGAAAAAGAGTTGAGAAAGAGAGTGAGACAGACAGACAACAAAAAGAAAGAGAAGAAACTGTCGTGAGCAGACGCGGTGACACAAAACAGCGGGACAGCAGCTGGCAGCACTGAGGATTTGTATTTTAAGTATCCAACATCCAAAAAGGTCCTCTCACCTTGTACTGTACTTACTCTACTCTATGCTGCAGCCTCAGACAGATGGCAAGAGAGACTTCTGCCATGTTGTTACAATCAATAGATCAAATAATCCCAAGCTGACTTGAGATTCGAACTGGAGGCTCATTGACATTTGTTGTCAAGTTCTCTTGCCTCAAAGAGAAGTTGCCGACGTCTTTATTCTGCCTTCTTTTCTCTGAATCTTCCTCCATCCTTTCGCAAAGTCGTCCTCTCCCTCCATCGGGGGATTATATCTGCCCTCCTTGGTGGGAGGGGTTTGAGGGAGTTCAGCTAAATGAATCAATGAGCGAGGAGGGTGGATATTTCAAAGAATGTCACTTTTTTCTACAGCCGTTGGCATCTTTCCCAGGTCTCCCTTTGCTTTTTCACACCAGCAAGACAGTGGAACACCAATGCAGATCTTGGATCAGCGAGCTGTCGCCTCTAGGTGACCCCAATCATTAGGAGAGAAAACATAAATCCATCTGTTCATAAATGGCCGACCGTCTCCGTAGCCCAGCTCGGAACCAATCACTGGCGTTAGAGCGGGTATCCCGAGCCGAGCCAACCAATCAGAGCTCAACTCTGAGCTGATGTCATTTTGAAAATGTAGAGTGTAATAAAAGAGGAATACTTTTTAAATTGCAAACTAACCCTTTCTTCCAAAACTTACATCAACCACTTGAAGAGAAAAAACAGCTTGTTTTCTGTCTTGTACTTCAAACAGTTCCTTCCTTGTGGCAGCTTCTCTAATACCTGAGTTAGAAATGTGTTATTTAGTCCTCAAACTGACACACACACAGACATTTTTGGAGGGCTCTCCCAGTCCTCAATCACTCACTGCGGAGACAAAACAGACCACAATAGTCCAGCTTCTCTGCTTTAACTCTGCATGAGTCTTTTCTCGAAGATAGGACAATGGACACACACACATTCATACTGTACACGGGTGCACATACACATGTGGTGCGAACAATCCGGTTCTTCCATGGAGGCTCAGATTCAGCCAGCAGGTTGGACAGCCCCTCAACCTGACGTCACGTCTCCTTTGTTGTTTATGCATTTATTTCTCTCCTCAGCTGAACTCTCTGAACCCAAAGTCTCCCCCCGCCTCCTCCTCCCGTCCCGTCCTGCACTTACCCCCTGCCAAAGAAGGCGGGCAAATACAGTATGGCTTTAACAAGGAATAAAAAAAAAAGAGAGAGACAGACAGACACAGAGAGGGGAGAGACAGGGAGAAGGAAAGAAAGGAGCTCAGATGTCTCTCTCACTTTTTCTTTTCCTCCTTTTCTTCTTCGATTGCTCCCTGCGTCTCTTCCTGCTTGGCTTGTAAAAGTTTCAGCTGCATGGTGGGCCGGCCTCTTTTGGCAACCGTCCAGCTCTTGACTCTCCTGTCCCTGTGCAAGAGAGAGAAGGAGGGGAGGACAAATATAGTCACACAGCTAGACAGTACCGTACAGTGGTGGCAGCAGACCATTTCTATTTAATTCAGTGAGAGAGGATTGTGAAATTCCTTCAGTATTTATAATCGGCAACAGTGAAGCATTTCACAGCATATTTCATGTAAAGTACAAGTTAATCATGACCCAGGACATCAAACATGGTTTCAAATGGCTGTGAATGTTAGTATGTCTTTCACTGAGTGTGACAGCTGAGTCTGATAAGAGTGTGTTTTTCTGCTCACACCCAGTTCACCCAGTTCACACAGGGACACACTCACTCTCTTATCTCCCCTTGTATCAATAACAGCAGCTCAGTTACGTGTGTGTGTACAGACAGATTTACACATGCACACGAGAACATTTGAAACTGCAAATATTTAGATTATTTAAAAAGATAAAGCTAAGGGGGCCCTCAGTTTCATAAGTACACGCATACACATATGAACACTGTTATTTATTTACTTACAGCAACTTGGTGCACAGGGGTTTTAATAATGTAATGATGAGATGGTTTACAGTAAAAGTAGACTCATCCTTTTAAAATGTTTTTCTCTAAACTAGATTGAATCAACCCTAATGCTCTATTGATTGAGCTGACTACATGACAAATGAAGGATTCACTTTCCAGTTAATCAAAAATGAATTACATAATATTTCATGATTTATCACTCCATTAACCTAAAAATAATATGAACCATGTTTCCAATGCTCTTCCAAAATGTACGTACATTTCTTTTTTTCATGTTTCCTAATGATATTCTGCCATAATTCCTATTGGCATCAGCCAATATGTCCCGATTGTTAGTTTATGAGCTGAAATACTGTAACGGCATTGCTCAGGTCTATGTGTTGACATTGACATCTCATATAAAATGCCATTTCAGTGGATCAAGGAGTTTAATGTCATGTATGAGATGCCCAATATCATTTGTTTTCTAGTGTTGCTAAAGAATAGCAACAATAGTAAGCAATAACTTACTGTATCAGTAATTCACAAATGATCCAAAGGCTGGCAAGTAAATACCCCTTGAGACATGTGTATTTTAAGCTGTTTAAATAATATGAAAATCATGAAAATATGTTTTCATGAACCCCGCTGCTGAACGGGAGTTGCCACAAGATGCCAGAGTAAGAGAAGGTTTACGGTAGCTGCCACTCGCCTTCCGTGGCAAATGCTGCTATTTAAACCTGTATTTATCGTGTAAAATGTTGCTGTTTAGGCATGACTTTATCGAACTGATCTGTACACAGGACTGATGTGCGATCTCTATTTTTCAAAAAGATTATAAATTATCATTTCTATTCAATTTTACTTGGAGAACGTGGTTTGCTAAAATAAACAAACGTGCTATATTTATGATAGTAGGCTACTAAAAATATATTGTAGAAATATTGGCGAGTGAGGGTTGCAACGCAAGCCCTTGGCAATTGTCGCTTCACTGCTTGTTACGATAAACCAGGTGTATTATTAGCCTACTAGTAAAGACAAATAATTAACAAATACATATCTGTATTGACACAGCAACGTTGTGTACACTGGTGTTATTAGACTTGGCTACAGACTTTGGGCAGCTGTAACTGATTGCAGTTGCCACTGCTAGTGAGATGCTAAGGTGTATAGGCTACTTTATAAATGAGGCAAAGGACAGTTATATTTGATTATACACATGTATAAATGTGTTATTTTAAATGTAGGCGTATGTACTTAATTTGTATTATTTTCGTTGTTAATAAACAGATTAATGTCATTGTATCTATTTTGTTGTTTAATATTTTAATTCTGATTAAACATTTTTATTTAAATGCTTCAGATAATTCTTATTTGATATTGATCAGTGAATCTAAACAAACCATGTTATTCTGTTTAGACAATCATGACAGTATAGTAAAAAAGCAAGACACAATTCATGTTTTATTATCCAACCCTTTTATTGTGTTTCGAAACTGCCGAACAATTTGTAATGCTTGACTGTAACTAGTTATTGGCAGAACGTTTCGTAGTCCTTTCTTTGGTCAAATGCAAAGGTGAAGAGCTTGTATGGTGAGTCATCCTCATCTGTCTCCCCTTGCCAGCTTTGCAGTGCTTGTAGGGTTTCAGCTTTAGAAACTGCATTTAAGATTACGAAATATTAGCAAGCAAGTAGTGGCATCTGTGGCAGATGCCGGAAGTACCAGCCACAGATGCCACGGAGTAGTGCAAATACGGGTTTAAACAGCAGCATTTCCCACGGAAGGCGAGTGGCAGCTACCGTAAACCTTCTCTTACACCGGCATCTAGTGGCAATTCCCGTTCAGCAGCGGCAGATGCCTCTGCAAACTAGTGGCATCTGCCGCAGATGCCTCGGCAAGTAGTGGCATCTGTGGCAGATGCCGGAAGTACCTGCCACTGCCTGCAAATGCCAAGGCACATGCCACGGCGAGTAGTGGCAACACTCACTGTGTTAACCCTGTGTTCTAGTATGATAAATAAAATAACATTGTACCTTGAAAATCAATGCATTCTAATAGCGGGTACATTTTACCCATTGGCGGTTTTAAGTATGGCTATACAGCGACCCCTGGCGGTTCTAGTGTTAAAGTGGACCTATCATGCTATATTTGAAAAATATATTGTAGGGCCATACCTATATAAAACATGTCTGTGTTTTTTTTTCTTCAAAATACCAAACAGATCATGCATTTTAGCCATGCCTCATTTCGCTCTATTTGCTCTTTTCCAGCCCTGTTTTTGCAAGGGCTGATTCTGTGACGTAGCTTTAATGCAAATGAGCTGCAGCTGACCACGCCCCCCTGCAGGAGAAGGGGGCCGTGCTCAAAGATCAGCTGCTGGGCTCTCAGAAGAGGGGGAGGAAAAGAGAGGCTCCGTCCTCCGTGTATTATTCTTATATTATTATATAGGCGTGTGGCACAGTGGATAGAGCAGGTTCAAACCCCACTGCAGTCAGCATGTCGTTGTGTCCCTGAGCAAGACACTTCACCCCAAATTGCTCCTGTGGGGATTGTCCACAGTATTGAGTATGTAAGTCGCTTTGGATAAAAGCGTCTAACAAGTAACATGTAATGTAATGTAATATAGAGTCGTTATTCATTTGTGTTAAAGCTCAATAAATAACAAAGAAGACCTTTGACCGGCACTTTTCTAATTTTGTCCGGAAGATTTCAACTTTAACGGACATGTTGACCGGCGAAAAAAAATCTAACTGAAACTCTGCTGCACGGTCCCCTCGTCCCTTGGAAGAGGCGGAGA